ATTTATAAAATTTAATATGGAACCTATTTTAATTAATTTATAATTATTATTTATGCTTATAATTATATTAAAATTTTGTTTATTAAAAAATTTAATTTCATAATTTATAAGTTTTTATTTAATGTAATTAATAAAATAAAATGATAATATGAAAAAATTATAAGTTTATAAAATATATATATATATATATATATATATATTTATATTTATATATTATTTTATTAATTGTTCATCTTTTTATTTTATTCACTTATTTATTTCTTATATAATTTATTATGCTAATAAAGATAAATCATCAAATTTACTAAACTAAAGCTCTTCAATTTTTTTAATTATTTGAAACTTTTATAAATACTACAATATTTCATTTTATAGATCTTAAAGAATCTTTAAAATAACTTGCAATAACTATTAAATAATAGAGAAATTATATATATTTTCAAATATATAAGATATTATATAATCGAAATTCATTTGACTAAATGCATTTAAAACAAACAAATATTAATTTGAAGTTAATAAATTAATGAAAAACCTACTACAAAATTCTTTAATTTCCAAACTATCATTTATAAGTATGTTTTACATTTTTGATATAAATTAACTTTCTAATAAATTATCTTTTATCTCTTATATGTTTGACCCTGCCATATTAAATAATCCATGAATGGCTTATTTTCTTATTTCAAATTTTTAATTATCTGAATATTGTTTTAAATAAAAAATTAAATTTTTCTAATAAAAAATTTCACAATTATAATCTGAAGAATATAATAAAAAGTCTATACATTTTAATGCACCTACTATATTATCTGTTTAATGAAAATTCTCTAATATATTTAAAAGAAATCATATTCACTTTCATTTTCAAATTAATTTACTACATTTAATTTTATTAAACTTGCTAATATCCATAAGCATTCTGATAATATCATATAATTTTGTTCATTTTATATATATATTTTTAATCTGTTTACTATGTATATAAATGCTCTTTCTGTTTATTATTTATAAATTGTCGTTATTGAACTATTTTACATTAATCCAGAATAATTAACAAAAAACTACACATAAAAAATATCAAATGATCATTAAAAATGTCAAAATCTATAAGTGTAATAATAATATCTAAAATTTTTAAATCAATCAAAATATAAAATACTTTTGCTTCATTATATGAACATATATTTGCTAAAATATGTAAAGCCTTTTATATAATAAAAAATTATATTTAAAATTATTTATAAAAAAATTACGTATTATATAGAAATATTATCATTTTATATTTATAATATTATTATAAGGTTTTATATTAAATCAGAATTTAATATTTTTTACATTATATTGTTAATATATGTAAACGTTAAGTTTTATAATTATTATAATGATGCTCTAAATAATTATTTGTTTTAATAATATTATTTTTAAGAAATAAAATTTATTAAAATTATTATGTATTCAGTCTTATTAATTATTTCTATATTTTATATTTATTTTTTAGGGTTTAAATTAAATATTAAAGGCTTGAATTTAGCTACTGTTTAATAGATTTCTACATAATTGTTAGCTTTAATTTACTTTTTTAAATTTAAAACAAATTAATCTAATTATTCTATTTAATACTATTCTTTAATATTTAATTGAATTGTCTTAAATAAATTTAAAATTAAAATACGAATTAATGTTTATAAATTTTATGAAAATTAATATAATTAATAATTTTATTTAATTTAATTCTTTTATTTTTGATTTATTTATTTTCCTTTATATTTTTTATTTTTTTTACATTTTGATATTATTCTTGTTCTTAAAATAATTCATCATGCCATTCTTCACTATCTTAAGTTTTCAAAATTGCAAAACGTTTTAAATTTAGGTTGTCATTAATTTTTTTTTTTCTTATCTCAACTCTCATATTTTCTTATTTCAACTTAATCTAGTTATGAATATTATTTTTAATCATTTACAAAATTTATGTAAAAATATTAATTTTATTTTGAATATATATAATATAAATTAATTTTATATAAATTGAATGCCGCTATTTATTACGTAAATATCTAAATATACTAATAAAAATAATTAATAATATAATTTAATTTAAAATTTGAGCCAAAATTTTTGAATCGATAGTAAATATTAAAAATGATAAATTATTTAATAAAAAATACTAATATTATTAAAAATATCAACTAAAATCATTAAAAATTAAAATTTATTTTCAATTAAATAAAATTAATTTGTTTTAATTAATATGTTTATAAATAAAATAATCAGAAAAACGTATTAACATCTTATATATTATTTAAAAAATTAATAAATCTGAACAAACATTAATATCTTTAAACATATTTTTTACTAAGAAATAAATTATTTTAATTAAATAATAGTTTGAAAACCGTTTTTAATAGGCAATGCATATTAATATCCATAAAAATTAAACAAACTATAATACTTATTTCATACATATATATACAACATTTCTTTTTCAATACATTTTTGAATAGCTTCTTTACGATTGCTTGCAGTAACGGCTCATTATATGCATCTAATAATTTAATGCAAAATCTATTTTTAATATTTATCTTAGTTATCAATATTTTATTTTATTTCAGTTTATTTCAATTTATTTAATTATAGATGCTTTGTATATCTCTTCAGGAACAATGACTTAGTTTAATTATCTAATATCTATGTTTACCCATTCTATTATTTTATATTTTTAAGGATGGATGATAATAAAAATTAATAAATTGTATTAGCATTTATTTATTGTGTTAGCTTTTTATATTTTTGATAAATTGCTATTATTAATTGTATTCCAACAATATATGTATTAATATTATAAAATTTTAGATAAAATTATGCTTAACTATATTTTTATTAATTATTTTAGTCAAATATTATGTTAAAATTATTTTAATGAGGTTTAATTAAAACTGATAATTAAATTGTAATATTTTAATTTATATAAATATTTTTATTATTATTATGATCATGATTATTAGTTATTGAAACAAATTAAAAGAATTTATTCTTATAAAGTTAAATATGAATTAAAAGCATTACTATTTTTATTTTCATTATTATTAATTTTTCATTTAATACTTTTTTATTTTATCAATTTCTTCCTTTATTTAAATTATGTCATTAAAAAATGAGTAATATTTTTATTTAATATTTTCTTTGTTTATAAAAGTTTAAATATAATAAAATTAGTAAATAAATTATATTTTATAATAAATCTAGCTATTAATATAACTTTAAAATAATTATTCTCATTAAAAAATAAGCTATTTTACAATTTTTCGATTAAAAAATAATAAAAATAAGATTTTTAAAACATAAAAAGTTAAAATAAAAGATATATAATTTTAATTTTAGTTCAAACTAAATTAGTCAATATATTATTTAAAATTTATAATGTTGTAAAAATAATCATTTATTTAGTAAAATATTTAAATTATAAGCATAAATAATTATACTCAAAATATTATTATTAAAAGGCTAAAAATTATATATAATATAAGGTTATAAATTTAATGTAGATAGGATTATAAATTAAATATATATATAAATTAATAATATTTATGAAATATATATAAAATAGTATAATAATTAAATATCATTTATATAAAAAAAAGAATAATATTAAAAAATTAGAGAAATAATTATATGATTAAATCATAATAAAAAAATTATATATAAATAATTTATATTTATAAATTTTTTAAATAAAAAAATTGTAAATAATATTAATAAAATACTTTCTAATATTAAAAATATATTTAATATAAAACATCTATAATATAAAAATAAAATATTTATATATTTTTTAATAATTTTAATTATTAAATTAATTAATAATCTAAATTAAATTATATTTTATTATATTATATTTTATTTGAATTATATACATATTTCATTTAATCTTTCTGTATATTTGCGTATATATTAAAATTATATTAATAAACAATTTTTGCCATAAGTTATTTCTGAAAGTATAAATTCTATGCCAGTTCTTATATATGTAATACTTAAATCTTTATTATTCATTTATTTAGTACATAATTTATTGTTTGAAGTCATACAAATTTAAAGAATTTTTTTTTTTTTAATACTTTATTTGTTTTTGTTTTTAATTTTTTTTTTTTTAATATTATATTCAAATTATTATTATGTTTTTAATAACTTTACACTTCTCTTTTTGATGCTTTTTATATAAATTAATAATTTATTAATTATTAAAATTATTTTTTTATTTATTTTAATGTAATTTTAAATAATTAAATTGATAATTCCTAAAATTAAATATTATTAATGTGTAGTTTTTTATTATATATATATTTTTTTTAATATATATAAAATTCTTAATTTGATATTAATAATAGTAAATAATTTAATATTATTTTTAATTAAAATAAATTAACATTAACTATATTAAATAAATAATTAATTAATTTATTGTTAATAAACATTTTTAATTTATAAAATATTATTTTCTATGTTTAAAAATAATTAAAAAAAAATTGTGGCTTATATAAAATAATTAAATATTTTTTTTAAAAAATAAACATCTATAAAATAGTTATTTCATTAAGAGCAAAAATAGAATGGGAAACGAAATTTAAAAATAAAAAAGATCAGATAGTTGTTAAATATATAAATAAATAGAAGAAAATGATGTACATAATAACTTCGGCTCTGGTTTAATAGATGGTAAATAAACCAAAATTAATAATTTTAAATAAATTAATAATAAAGGTGAAGATGATATAATTTATAGAAATGATACATAAAACTAATAAAAATTTGAATTAAATAAGTAAAGGTTGAATTTACATCCATAGTTTAAACATTTACTATATAAATAGAAATTTTTTACTGATAATAATAAGCTTTAGAAAAGTAAAAATTATTTAAACAGATATGAAGGGACTTTTTTAAATGATTAACTTTTTGGATAAGGAATATATTTCTATCCATCCGGAAGTATTTATATGGGAGGAATAAAAAATAATGGAAGAGATTCATATGGAACTTTTTATTTTTCTAATGGAAATATTTATGAAGGGTAATGGAAAGATAATGATCAAAATGGTTTTGGAAAATTTTATTTTGCATAAGATGGGAAACTCTTCTAATTTTATGTTGGAAATTTCTATAACTCTTTATACCAAGGCTTTGGAGGATATTGTTATCAAAATAAATATTACATTGGATATTGGTCTAACGATAAATATGAAGGACATGGAAAAATCTATTCTAATGATGGAAAATTAATTGTTTGTGGTATTTATTCAAACGATAAATTAATTAAAGAATTAAATGAAAGTGAAATCGTTTTTCCTTCTTATTATAAAGACTATATTCCTAATTATTAAGTAGAACATAAAAGATATAAAGAAATTTTAGATGTAAAACCTATAGCATGAAAAGAATTAATTTTATTGATTTCATTAGGAATATTATATTTAGAAAATTATAAAATTTTTAAATTTTTATTAAAAAATAGCTAATATAAATAAATTATTTTATATAATAAATATAAATTATTATTAACTTTTTTATGCTATAATTTATTTTTATTTTGTTATAAATAAAATTAATTTATTAATAGTTTAATATTTTTAATTTTTATAAATAAATATAATTAAAAAAAAAATTATTAATTTATTAATGTCAGTAACAGAGTTATTACTATCTTAATTGGTTTCTAAAATAATTAATCATGATTAATCTCAAATAGTTTCTGAAATAAGTGAACTCTCTTAAGCAGAATTAGACCAATTTTATGAATAACTAAAAGAAATTGATTTTGATTAAGTAGAAATTTTTAAAAAGATAATTAAGAAAGAAATAATAATTAATTAACAAAAAGACAATCTTATTTAACCTGTTGAAAATTTACTAAGTCTTGAAAAATAAACTTAAGACATAATTGAAGAATTATAATAAATAGGTTTAAAATCTATTTCTTAAGGTTAGTTAGCAATAATAACATTAGCAGGAGGATAAGGTATTTAAAAAAAAATTGAATAAAATAAAAAATTATAAAAAGGAACAAGATTAGGCTTCGATAATCCTAAAGGAATGTTTAAGATTAATTTACACTCTAAAAAAAGCTTATTTTAAATTTTTGCTGAAAGAATTAATCGTCTTTATGAATTAAGTTTATAAAGATTTCCCTAAAAAGAAAATTAAAGTGGAATTTAATGGTATTTAATGACATCTAAATAAACTGATAAAGAAACAAAAGATTTTTTCAAAAAAAATAAAAATTTTGGAATAAGAGATGAAAATTTACACTTTTTCTAATAAGGTTATGTGACTTGTATTGATAAAAATGGAAAAATATTGCTTGAAAATGAAAATTAAATATATTTATCACCGAATGGAAACGGAGGGGTATACGAAGCTCTAGAAAATAAAAAAATATTAAAATAACTTAATGAATAAAAAATAAAATATGTTCATGTAAATATTAAAAAAAAAAATTAATTATATAACATATAAAAAAATAATAAATAAAAACAAAAAATTCAATTATAATGATATTAAAATAAATAAAAAAAAAAAATTTATAAAAAAAAAAAAAAAAAATATATTTATTATTATTTATTTATTTATTTATTTATTTATTTATTTATTTATTTTATATACAGATTGTTGGAATAGATAATATACTTGTAAAACTTGGCGATCCAACATAATTAGGTTATTTGATATAAAACAATTATGAAATAGTATCAAAATTTGTAAAAAAAGCATATCCAGAAGAATGTGTTGGTGTACATGTTTTAAAAAACTAAAAACCTTTTATTATTGAATATTCTGATATGACTTAATAATAAATATATGAAAAAAATTTATCAGGATAATACAAATTTAATTAAGGATTTATTTGTAATTTTATTTGCTAAGTCTCTTTTTTAAATCGAATCATTTAAGATTCTTAATAAACAAATTAGCTTATGGTATATCATTAAGCTATTAAATAAGTTTCTTATTATGATGTTTTCAAAAAAGAAATTGTTTATCCTAATGAAAAAAATGCTTATAAATTTGAACTTTTTATTTTTGATGCTTTTCAACTTTCTAATTCATTTGGATTAATAGAAGTTAATAGAGAATAAGAATTCGCACCAATTAAAAATAACGATAACAATTCTAATATTGATACGCCTTTAACAGCCTTAGAATTAGTATCTAAATTACATAGATAATGGCTAATTTAAGCTGGTTATGTTATCGATTTTTAGGCTTCAACTTAAAATGTTTTCGAAGTCGATTAAACTATATCTTATTAAGGTGAAAACATAAAAAAACCTAGTGATGAGCACAAGCATATTTAAGAAAATAATTTTTATTTATAAAAATAATAATGAATTAATTTTATATTTATTTAATTGAGTATATAAATAGAGTTTTTAATTTTTTTTTTGATAAATTTAATTATATTTAAAAAGTAATATTTTTAATATCTATTTTTTTTTATTTTATTTTTTTAAATTTTATTAATTATTTTATTTAATTTTGGTTATAAAAAACTATGAATGGTGCTATTTTTTGTAAAGAATACGATTTATTTGAGGAATGTTTTGATAAAAATATAAACTATTAAATATTTTATAATAGAGCTTCATCAACATTAATTTTTAGATAAGAAAAAAATATATTTTAAATATAAATGGTAACCTAAAATATATCAAAATTATTAATACCATATACGTAAAAAATAAATAATTTAAATAATAAATTAACTCTTTAAAAAAGCGGTCCCATTTATGATTTATTGCTGCATAAGAGCCAAAAATATATAGCATATACTATAGCACATAATTATTTTAGTATAGTATTTTTATAAGGAAAAGTAGGGCAATAATTAATAGAAACAAGAATAAAAGTAAGCAAAGACGATCGAATGGACCCAATCATACATTTTGAGTGGATTTATGGTTGTTAGAATGTAATAGATTTTATACTATGTAAATAAAGTGGTCTAGTTTTATATAAATTAGATCATGATAAATAAATTTTAAAAGAATAAAAGATATTTAATATTATGATAGGAGCATGTTGGTTTGATCCTATTAATGAGATTTTATGCTGTTCTAATTTTTATGAAAATGGAAAAATAGAACCTTTTTTTCAAATACAAATAACACAATCTGAAACAAAAAGGATAAGAGTTTTATGTAGAGGTTGGTGAATATAATACCGAATAATAACAAAGTCGAAACAGTAGTACAAAACAAGATGTTTTTAATAGTTTTTTATCAAAATTTAAACAGGCCTAAAATTAATAATAATATGTAAACTTTGTAACAATTGGAGATAACAAAAATAAAGAATTAACATTGATTCCTTAAGATCCTCGAATTTGTCATAAAATATCTATAGGAGTATTAAATAAGAAAACATATTTAATATATTTAAATCCTTATAATAATAAAATTTTTCTTTATTAATTAAAATATGAAAAAAGTTAAAAATGTGATTTTAGCATTCCTTGTCCAAGTGAAAGTTAAATTAGATTTTGTATTTTAGATAATTTACTCGTAATAAATTCTATTTCTGAAAAAATCACGCTTGTTTATGATATCAGAAGGAAAAGTTAAGCTTATTAAATTGGACCTCCACAAAGTCTTAACATAAGAAATAAAATAAAAAAAAAGCTACTATTAATTTAATCTAAAATGAGAATTTTAATTTATAAGAATAATTTAATAATAATAACTTTAATGATGATGATTAAGATTATGATAATAATTAAATAGAAAATAATAATAATATTGATATTGCAGCATATATAAATCAAATTGATTAAAACTCATAACCTATTTCTAGTCAAAACTTAGAAATGTTTTAAACTAATGAAAATAATTTTTCTAATGTATTTGATTATAAAGATAATATTTTAGAAGTCGATTAAATTGGTGATCAAAATTTTTTTTATAAGTCTGAAGCTAAATTTTTAGATGATTATAAACTATCGGACAACACTATAAAAACCTTTAATCCTCAATAAGAGATTAAAAATGAAAAATTTGATTTATTCAATTCTGAACAAGAAAATGCTAATTAAAAAAACATTTAAAAATAATAATGCTTAAAAAATAAAATAAATAATTAGAATTTTATAGAGATTGAAATTCAGAATGAAAATTTTAATTTTGAAGAAAATTTAGAAAATTTATGTAATAAAAAAATATAAATTATAAGAATATATCAAAAAATTAAAAGACAATTTAAATTAGAATATATTTACTGAAGATTAATATATAATAAATCCTAAACAAAGAAAATTTTATTAAATGAATATAGATTTAAAATTAATTTAGTAAATAATAAAAGATGAAGTTATTTATAATATTTATCTTATAATTACTAGTTTTTTCAAATTATATAATAAAAGTATTAATGCTTTATTGTTATAATTAGGAGAGAAAATAGTAAATAAATTTCACTTGAATATTTGAGAAATTTATCGTCAAAAAAATAAGATTTACTTGTAATAACTTAATACACGGATTTATTAAAAAATTTATCTATATATTGGGTCTTTATAATTTTTTTTTTTATTTTGCATTAAGATAAATTTTTAATAATTAAGATACTAAGAATTAAATTAAAAAAACTAAAGATATAATAAAGATTAAAAAAATTATTTTGGCAAAAAAATATTAATTCTGATAATTTTTATTTATTAAAAAAGAAAAAATAGTAACGCTAAAAAACCAAGTATTTTGAGAAATTTATCGTATTTAATTATTGATCTGTACTTTTATTTTCATAAATATTTTGTCAAATTATTTAATCTTAAATTAGCTAATTGAAAGGTCTTTTATTTAATTATTTTATATATTAATTTTTTGTATTCAATATATTTCAAAACAAATAAAAGACGATAAAACATAGTCTTAATCCTTAATAAATTCTTAAGATATGTATTAATAATATTTTTTAATACTATAAAGGAATTAAGAAATTGATTAAGAATTTTTATGTTAATTAATTTACGAATACATACGTCTATCTATAGGTAAATATATACTTAAATATTTTCAATTTTTTTTTTTTTGACTAGACTTTAAATTAACAATAAATAATGATATCCAATAACTTTTAATTTAAAATAAGATTAAATAATAAAAATATCAAGATATATAATTTTTAATTTAGAATAGAATTATTTAAGACGATCTATAATTATCATTATAAATGATAGAATTATATAAAAGTATTAAAATAATCAATAAATATTTAACAAATTAAAAAATAATTAAAATTAATAAAAGCTGCTAAATTTTAATAAGGACTTTAATCTGGGTTAGATATGTTACATAGGCTTAAATAACATTATATCATATTTGACGAATTTTTAAAAAATGGATTAGTAAAATATTTAATATATATAAAAACCTTATAATAAAATATTTTTAAAGTTTGTATAAGCATTTTACTCTTTTGCAAAATATAATCTGTATAAAATTGATTTGAAAAGCTTGACTAAACGTATAATTTAAGTTAAAGGAAATCTTTATGAATAATAAATTCTTGAATTTTTTAGAGAAGTAAATGATTATTTTTAAAATATTTTTTATGTTAATAAAAATAGGCAACTTACAGTACTAAAGGGGCTGAAAAATTAGGATTTAATTATTAAGATATGATTGATGTATATAATTAGCATAAAATTGACTAAAAACAGATAATAAATGAAAAATTAATTTGAATTATATATAAATTATTTAATTCTAATATTATTATATTTTATTTTCACTAAATTTACAGATAATAATATAATATTATTCATATAGTTTTTTTTTTTTTTTCTGTTTTTTTAAACTCAATCAACAACAAAATAAAAGGCTATATAAATAAAAAAACAATATAAGCAAGCAATATATTATTTGAAAGTTCTTTTATTTTAATTCTCTATAAATATTTAAAGTATTTGAAATTAAAAATAAAAAATATTATCATGAATTTATGTAATTAGGATATATTTTATCATCTTATATAAATAAGATTTTTAATTTATTCATAAGTAAATAATAAATATTAATAGCTTATAATTTTTTATTTTTTATTTTTTTTAGTTTTTTTAAAAAAACTTAATCAACCAAAAATAAAGGCAACAAAATATAATTGGTCTTATTTTTCTTGATTGAATCTTTTAAAAAATTATAGAAAAATATAAATAAAAAAAATCCAAAAAAACAAAATATATCAATAATATTTTTTTTAATCCAAAAAATAAAAAATTAAAAAATAATTGTTTAAAAATTCAGAAAAATGAAATAAAATATGTAATCAAAAACATAAATAATGTTAAAAACATGTATTTTTTTTATTTCCGTTATAGCGATTTTTCTAGGAAAAATATTCGGCGTTCCTATAAAAAGCTATAATGGGATCCATGATCCAATTATGAATTGTTTAGCAGGAATGAATACGGAAATAAATAAAAACTCTTCTTTAACTAAATTTTTACAAATATCAAGTAGTTTATTGATGGATTTTAGTTTTTTGACATTATTTATATATTGGGTATTTAGAATAAATACAGGCCGTATTTTATATTCAATGTCACTTTTTTATTTGACAAGGTTTTTTGTTTAATAAATAGTAGTTTTTCCTTATCCAGATGGTGATTTTTGGGATCCTCCTGGCTTTCCTTCTCTTACAATTCCTTATGGAAAATCCACAGATTTTTTTTGGTCCGGGCATTGTGGATTTTTAACTCTTGCAGCTTTAGAATGGTATTATAATAAAAAATATTTAATGAGCACTATAACTATATTTATTGCTTTATACATGGGAATTGTTATGATTGGTTTTAGAATACATTATACTGTAGATATTTTTATAGGAATTATTATGGGACATTATTGTTTTATGACGTTTGAAGGTAGTAATTCTGATAAAATTGATGCATAAATTAAAAAATTATTCTAGTATTTTTGGACTAAGATTAATAAAGATAGCGATATTGAAAGCAAAATCAGTAGCAATAACTAATCTGAATTTATTTAGAATTCATAAAATAAATTATGAATGTATTATTAATAATTATTTTATTTCTTATTTTTATTTATAATATGTTCTTCTTTTTTATATTTTAATTAATAAAATAATATATTAAAATATATTTATTTTTATAATTATATTATTGATATTTAAATCTAAATTAATGAATTAAAAAAAATTAATTTATAATAATTTGCATTTTAAAATTAATTGAATTTTTTTGTTAAAATTTAACAAATATAGAATAATTTTTATTTTATATTAAATAAAAATATATATCAATAGATTAATTAATAATATATTGTTCAAACTATTAAACTAGCTTTATTATATAATATAAATTCATTAATAGTATTTTTAAAAAAATTATTTAGCACCTTCAAAAGTCTATTAAGCAAAATAAAATCCATTTTAAATTATTTATTTTGTATTATTGTTTTGATCCTTATTCAAATTTGTAACAAACTCATATTAATTCCATGAATTGATACAAAATAAAGAAAAAATACTAATAAAAACTATATAAAGAATAAAATGTGTACCTGGAACACCTTCAATAACTAATGAAACGTAGTTATAAGAAAAAATATTGTCTAAATTATAATCTCCAATATCTATTTTATAAGTAATATATGTTTGTATATAATTAAAATATTAAAATAAAAATTTATATATTTATATATATAGAAAAATAAATAAATTAGTAATATATATATATATACGTATATATATTTACATATATATCTTTATAAATATATTTAATTTTATAAATATTATATCCTTTATATTTTATTTTATTTTTATTTTTTTTTACTATAATTTTTCATTAAAATTTATTTAAATATAAATTAGTCTATTAATATTAATATATATTCATTTTATTTTATTTTTTTCAATTTTTTTTTTTTTTAAATTATAATTTTTTAATATTGTTTATTTTTTCTTAAGATATTTAATTTTTTAATGTAAAATTTAATTAACATTTTTACTTATAGATTTAGTTTTTATTTTAAATTATTTAACAAATTAAAAATTCTATTTTAACTAGTTATATAAATTTTATAATACTTTTATTGAATTCTTTTGAGTTTTTTACACTATAGCTTATTGTTAATGATGTGAAACATATAAAAATAGCCACTAAATTAATTCCAAAAATAAATGAAATAAGGCTTGTAGATCCAAATAATAAACCAATAAAAAATATTAAAATTAATACCTAAAATAATAATAATATATATTTAATATAATTTTCATACCAAAAATATATTTAAAGAAACTTTTTTTATGGATTAAAAATATTATTAATCCATAAAAGAATTTAATGTCCTTAAATAAGATTATTAACCAGATAATTATTTTATTTAATTTTAATTCTGTTTTATATTTTTTTTTTTTTTTTTTATATATATTTACTATATTTTGACTTAATAACTATATATTAAACATTGAAATGCCTTTGAAAAAATAAATAGTAGATCCTCCCATTAAAAAGCTAAAAATAATCCCTCCATTAAATTATTAATCCTTACTTTTTTGAAGTAATAAAAAGGCCCCAATAAATATTAAGTTATTAAAAAAACTATCATTATGTAAACTATCTATGAAAAAATGCTATAATTTTAAGTAGCCCATTATTATTTGAAAATATATTGTCTATTATCGTTATATATATATCCTGATATATAATTAAAAAGGTTATTGTTAATTTTTTCAAATATTTTTTTATTTTTTTACCAATTTTACACATTTCGAAAGACTAACTTGTTATGCAATCAAAAATATTAGTAGTTAATAGATATTAATGGGTTGATATTAATCCTATAGCAGAACATGCAATTCCTAAAAAGCCTGCCAAGAAATAAGTAATTAGAATAATAAGGCTTATTAGAAAGAATATAAATATTTAACTTATATATGTTTAAAATTAAGATATAAGTATACTATTTGTAAAATCTATTTTTAGAAATAATTATAAAATGTATATATATTTCATGTTTAAATTTGTTTAAAAATACCATTTTAATTATTTCCATTTATATTTGCAAGTTTTCTTACAGGGTAATGATAATGAGAAGTCAAAACTTCAGAATAAAAAACAATTAATCCTTATAGAAAAAGTCCTAGAACAAGGCATATTACTATGCTACTTCTTGGAATATTTTATACATTAAAATATTGACTTTCTGCTTATATAGATATTTATTGAGGAACTAAATATAAACTAAGAGTCATTATAAATATAAAATTAAAAAACTAACATAAAATTATTTAATATTTAATTTATTTTGCACTAAAACTTGCTATTTCTATATGCAAAAAATAAAATATAAAACTTAAATATTAAATTATGAAAATTAAATATATAAAAATACAATTTTAAGCTTTCATTCGGCAACCAAAGCTTACAGTAATTGTTATAAGTAAATTTAGAATTAAGAAAAATAATGGCATATAAAAAAAAGGATGATAAAATTAATTTAGTTAACTCAAAATTACTAAATAAGCGCAAGTAAAAGTTGCGAAAATTGTTTAATAATCTAAAACATTTGTTATATTATTTATTTAAATATTTGATATAATTTTCGCCATTTCAATATTTAACTAAATTCTATTTAATTCATCTTAATTTGTGTTATTTTTTTAAATTAAAAAACTTCCTATTATTATAGATTTTGAAGATAAATTATTTGCTTCTCGATAAAATATACAAGAAAATATATTCCCTAAAGCATAGCCCATCACACTTTTTGCTAACTTTAAATATAAATCTTTTGTCTCTTCAGTTAGTATAAGTTCTTTTTTATTTTTATTTGGTAGTTATAAAGTTTTTTTAATAAATATAAATAAAATACTTGAATAAGAAATAATCAATATTGAAAATATAAATATTTAGATTGATGTCGATGTTATACTTATGATTGAAGATACTGTATATGAAAACATAAAAACATTATTTTTATCTTATAAATTAGGTATTTTTGTTATTCCTAAAACAGAAACAATTTATGTAAATATTGTAATAAAAGAAATAGAAAAGCATCCTAGTAAATAAGCAAAAATAACATAAAAACTATAACCTTCATCAGAAAAATATATCTATTTTTTATAAATAATTATTTATATTAATTTAGAAATATAAATAAAATTCTATTTTTTTAATACAAGAAATATCAAAGCAAATAATACAGCAAAAACAATCATTAAAATTGATTAATTTAAAAATAAATTAAATGACACATGTAATAGATAATCTATTAAGCCTTTGTAATATCTATCTTATTAAGAATGTATCTATTAAGAATTAATTTAGCTTTGTTCTATATTTAACTACTTTTAATCAGTTGATTTTAAATTTAATTAAAGTGAGTGCTTCTTATTAAGGTGCTAAATATATATATTAATATTATAATAATTTTAATTTATATATTTAATTGTTTTTTTTAATATTTATAACAATTAAAAATGAAAGAACGATTCCATATATTATTCCGAAAATAGAGAATAAAGTAATAACTACTTAACAATCCGTTTCTTGGTACATATTATATTTTTTTATAGAATTTATTTTTACCTTTTATTCATTAATTTTAATATATTAATTATGTAATATTTTTTAAATTTGTTTATACAATAAAAGGTATTTACTATCACTTTTTTTTTACTTTTTTTTTCCTTCTATTTATTTATTTTAAAAAAAACATCTATAAATATTTTTAAAACGTAAAATAATTTATTAGATTTTGTTTATTTTTTTAAAAATAAATTAAAAATTATCAAAGTAATTTCAATATATATATTTATAATGGAATTATTTAAAAATGTTAATAAATTATTATTTTATTTAATTAAATATTTTATTATTTTCAATTTAGTTATTTAATAAATTTGAAACAGATTGATAATATATTTTGTTATCGATCTTCATTTTATAATATTAAATTTTGATTAAAATTATATTTTACTGTGTTAAATAAATTATAAAAAAAAATATTGTAAATATAAACTTGATTAATAAAAAAAATTAATAATAATAAATATACTAAAAACATTTATTAAATCAAAAATTCATTAAAAAAAAAATTCATTTAGCTTATAAATTTATAAATTTAGAGGCTATTCCAATAATTCCACAAGCAACAACACTTCCAGAGTTTCCATTAACTAAAGAAATTTTGCTTTCTCCTTATCCCATATCATCTTAATTTTTATGAATTGCTAAGCTTCTACCTAAAATTGAAAGTTCCCCAAATAAGCTTATTTAATTATTACTCAAAGTATAATATCCAAATCCAAATTGGTCAGCTTTTATATTTCCTTTAATTTTTTTTAAATATAATAATTATACATATTTTTTATTTAAAAAGTAAACCTAAATCTCCAAGATGTCTTTCTTCTGAATAGTATGGACTTCCGTGTTATTTATTATGTGGATTATAGTGGTTTCCTATTTCGTAGAAATCACCATATTCATGTATACTTACTCCATGAGCTTAGTTTGGTTATAGATTCTTTAGTGATCCTACTATCTTTACTGGTTATTATGCTGCTTCTTATGTAAATGAAAATATGCCTTGTACTTCCTATTCATCTTAAGGATATAATATACAAACTGCATTTCTTTATGTTTAAACTTAATCATTTTTTGCTTCTTTATGTTTCATATAAAAAGCATTTGTCAATCCTATAAAGCAACCTTTGAATATAATTGAATTAAACATATCTTTTTGTTTTAATATATATAAATTTTATTTTATAAGAAATTTCTAATTTAAATTAATATTAAAGCATATTTTAAAATATATTTATATTTAATTATTTTATTATTTAATATTTTTAACATATATTATTAATTCCGTAATTTAATTATATTTATTTAATACATTTTATTCATTTTGAACTTAAATATAAAAAAATACAAAAATTTATAGTGATTGCATTTGGTGAAAAAAAGAATTTATTAGTATATTGTTATTTTTATAAAGATAAATTAAACAAATGGATATATAATAACTTTTAAGTATTAAAATAATTATATATTTTAGTATATTCAAATTAAATATTTTTTAAAAATAATTTAAACCAAAACATAATTTTATATTTATGAAAAATAATAAATAATTAAAAAGCTATTAATTAAATAAATAAAATCAAAGTATATAGAATATGCTAAAAATACTATCAAATAAAGTTTAAATTTTTTAAATCTGTATTTAAATTATATAAAACTTATTTATATTATTATAAAAATAAAGAGTAAAAAAGTTAAAATACCTGTATTTTAAGTTTATAACATGAAAAATATATTTATAAATCTTTATTAATAATACGAATATATTTGCGGTAATTCAATATTCAATAAAAAATTAAAAGGATATTAGTATTGTATTTATATATTTTTATGCAATTTTTATAATTAAAAATAAATAAGTAATGGTTATTCAACAGTTTATTATTCATGGTTTTGGTTTCCAATGATGCTTAGAAGCCCGTAATTTTAATGTTGCTCAAATAAAAATTATTGATTTACTCATTTTTTAGAATATAATATATGTGATTTATCAATTAAGTTAAATAAGATTATTTCCTATAATTCAATATCTTAAGAATTTTGCTAATACTATTAATAAAAAGTATTTAGTATGAATATACACTTTTCTTGTTATTAAAAAATCTATATTTATTTTCAGATTTTTATGAGTACTTTTTTTAATTAAATATCAAATAAAAGGCATAATTTAATATATAGAATTTAAAATATATTATGGCTTTTTCTTTAGTAATATATAACTATATTCCTTTTTATTTTATTAAAATACTGATTATTGTATTTGATTTTAACATTAATTATTTTTTCGATTTTAAAATTTTAACTTTTAAAGAGAATCTTCTCTAACTGTATTAAGGTCTTAATGATAGGGATTTGCAGGATAATTGGACAAATAGTATAATTTTAAACATAAATTAAATATATAAAGTTATGCTTTTAATCATATTAAAACTTCTAGGACGTATTATGACACCCATTTATATTAGTTATTATTTTAGAGGTTTAAATTAATCCATAAATAATAATTTAAGTTTAAGTACTTTGTGATGGATTTTATCTATTAAACTTGTGAAAATAAAGCTATACAAATTTGAGAGGAAATTCAATTATTGAAATAATTTTAAGATATATAAATAAAATTCTTCTTCTTCTAAAAAAAATAAAGAATTTTTTTTTTAAATACATAAAATAATATATCTGTCTGTTTAATATTTATATATTACAAATTTTTTTTATAATATTTAAAAAAATGAAAAAATGAAAATTTATAAAAAGGAAATAATAAAATTTAAAAATATATTTATAAAATAATATATATTTAAAAAAAAAATATGTAATTATTTTTTTTTTACTAACTTAAATAAAAATAATTATATTTTTATAAAAATTATTTCATATTAAATAATTAAAAGGATCAGAACCATTTCCTTTTTATTATTATTCTTTATTACCAGATTACAAATTATTTAGCATATTTGGCATATTTACTTGGGGTATTTATGCTTAAAGATGTGCTTACTTATGTAATAATTGATTATACATCATTGGGTTAGCATAAATTTGTTAAGATCCGAGTTAAGTATTCATATATTATTATTAGTATATTTAATACATTAAAATTTGTTATTATTGTTGTTATTATTACATTAATAACATTTATTATTAAGGAGTCATTTATTAAAACATTTAAGTTTATGCTTACTACATTTCTACTTAATTTGGTTGCAAATTATTCACTTTTTATTAACTAATTTCTTATTTGTTATTACAGCTTTGAATATCAATTAAATCATTTCCATTTTAATTTAAATATTCTTATTTACTTTAATGTTCTGAGTTTATTTTCTAGTTATTATTTTCTTGATTATATTATAATTATTATTTTTATTCTTCATTTTTATTAGTGTTTATGAATTCTATTAATTTTTTTTATTAATTATTATCTTCTTCATTTTGAAAGTCAATTAAAGCTTTATTACTCTTTTATTTTTTTAAAAATTGGAATGCATTTTTCTTTTATTATTCTTATTTCCCATTATTACTTTAAATATTTCCTTCTTATGATATATCTTCTAATAAATCAGTTTAATTATTTTATTTATGTATAGTATTATTATTTTAAGAGTTATTGCATTCTAAATTGTTAAACTTACCTAGAGGATCATTATTAAAATCAAATTATATATCATTGTACTTTTTTTAATGGATAATTAATATTTTTTTTTATTTTTTACTTTGTCTTGATTATTTTATTATGGATCTAATAGTCTCTTTATTTAATTTATTTCTTTTTAAATTATATTTTATTTATCATCTTAAGGTATTTCCATATTTTAAATTTTATTCCAATGATGCTTAAAATACTTTTAATATTTTTCGTAGTTTTATATTAATTCTTAAATAGCATATAATGTCCTCTTTTTTAAATTTTTATTTTTTATTTTTTTGATTATTTTTTTAATTATTTAAAATATTAAATGTATGTATTATTACCGTTTTTTAAATATAATCAATATTTGAATACAAATTTACTATTAATAAACTTCCAATAATAGGAACTTAAAAATTATTAGCTGAAATGTTAAATTCTTTCAAATCTTCTTAAGACTATTTTATTCTTATCCCACCAGGTTTAGTGATTTCTTATACATATTTAGCTTCGAATTAACTTTTTTTGTAAAAAATAATTTTAAAAAAGATAAAATAAATACATTAATTAATCTTTTAATTATTCGTCATCAAGAAATTGATAATCATCGTTTATTTTAAATTACTTAGACAAAGCTATATTATTTGTCTATTTACTATTTAATTTATAAAATAATTAGTTATTTTTTATTATTTATTACTCTAAATTTGTTGGCAATTAAATATTTTTTTAATTCTATATTTAGGATTTCTATTAGTTATTTAATGATTATTACTATTTTAAGCAATTTTTATTAATTATAATATTATTGCTATCTTACTCATCTAGTTATTAGATTTTTTATTATTTACTTTATTCTTTCATTTTAAAAAAATTTGGTTTTCCTTTTGCTTAAACATTGCTAATTTATACTTAAGGTTTTTCTTCTGGTTCATCCCAAACTTGATTAATATAAAAAAATGTTTAAAATTTAAAATATATATTTTTTAATAAATAATATTTTTATACTTATCATTAATATTATATTTTTAATAATTTACATTATCCATAGTTTTTTTATTATGCTTAAATTGCCGTTTATTCTAATGCTTTTGGTTCTTAAGTAATTTATTCTTATTATTATGTATGTTTTTTAAATTTATTGAAATTCATTATTTGATTTAATTTCTTTTATTAATATATAATAAATTAATTATATTTATTTATTGATCTTTACAATATATAATATATTTATTTATTTTTTCTTTATATATTCAAGATTATATATTTATTTTTATACTTTTTATATGTTTTTTTGTCTAATTTTATTATTTTTTCCTAAAATTTAAATATTATATTATATTTAATATATTTAATATATTTATATTAATTTTTAAAAAGATTAATAAGTATTTATTTATTATTATTATTTAGTTATTATAATTATCAAAAAATTCTAATAAAACAAATTATCTACTAGATATTTAAAGAATTTAAATATATTTAAACCATTTATTTATATTTTATCATTATTATTTTATATTAATTATTAATTAAATATTACTATATAATTAGTTAAATTTATATTAATTTACACCTATGTTTATAAAATAATAAATTTAATTTTAATTCTAATATATTTTAATTATTTCTTTATATTTAAACATTTTTTAACTTTTTTTTATTTATACATAAAAAAATTCAAAAATTATAAAATCAAATATTAAATATAAATAATATGAGAAATTAAAAAATAAAAAAATAGAATAATTTAAATAAATAAAAAACATATGATATGCAATTTATGAGGAAATAATTAAAATTGTGGCAATAAATTTTTTGATTTTATATAAAAAAAATTAAATATGGATAAATTTAATAATTTTATTATGTTTATATTTTAATAAAGACTAATAACAAATAATAAAAATATATTAAGTTTAAAAAATTGTAAATATATTCTATTAAATAATAATTATTTATAATATCTTTATTTTAAAAATATATTAAAAAAACAAATTAAATATATATTTGTTTTATTAATAAAAGTAATCTCAATAATATAAAATTGATATGATATTTATTAATACGAAATATAAAATTATAAAAATAAAAATAATTATTATTATATAAGCTAAAGAATAATTATAAATAAAAACTTAATAATTTTTACTATGTAATTGTTTAATAATTAAAAAATAAGTTTAAA